AAAAATTCTGTAACTAGTTGTCTACATTAAATATATAATAGTAAATGTTTTTAATTTAATTTATTTTTAAAATAAATAGATGGATATAGATAGCCTTGTCGTTAATAATAATTTGAGTTTGTCCAACTCTTCTAACCAGTTATCTAGATCAAATGAAACAAAAATAACAGGTAAAAATGTTTAATATGTAGTTTTTCCAGTGGGACACAAGTAATTATTGATTTATATTTTTGATGAAGGGTTACCATTTAACTCAACTATCCAGTCACTTGAAATATGATATTGGTTTATATGTAAAATCTATATCAAATGTAAGTGATGAAGAAAAAATTGATATTTTACGCCATGTATGGATTCCGGATGCAAAATTTAATTTTCGTACCACAGATAATGGTAAATTTAAACGATTATTCTAGTTGAAGTGGCTTGACACATTTCAATGGCTGGCTTATTAAAAAATTAAAGAAGGTTGTTTCTGTAAGTTTTGTGTACTATTTTTGCGCTCTCATAATGTTGGTAAAGGTTCTAATAATTCTGTTGGCACACTGGTTGTAAAACCTCATACCAATTTAAAAAATGCACTTGAAACTTTTAGAAAACATGATAAAACTGCTTACCATCAGAGTGCTTTTCAAAATGCTGAAAATCTTATGTCAATTTTTGATAAAAAAAAAAAAGACAATATAATAATACAGTTAAATACACAACGAGCCAAGGATATATTAATGAATCGTGAAAAATTAAAACCAATAATCCAGACAATTAGGCTTTGTGGGAGACAGCAAATAGCTATTGTTAAAAAATAGTATCCTAAAGAATTATATACCTATTGCGTTTCTCACTCATTAAATCTTTGTCTCTCAGATGTATCGAAAATACAAGAAGTTCGAAATGTATTTGGTGTAATATCTGAATGCTGTTCATTTTTTAATTGTTCAGCAAAACGAACCACAGCTTTAAAAAATAAAATTCTGGAAATGAAACCCACTGTTCACGCTACAAAATTGAAGACATTGTGCGAAACCAGATGGGTTCCGCGGCATAAGTCTATTTTAATTTTCAAAGAATTTTTGGAGCCCATTGTCGCTGCATTAAAACAACTGCAAACTGAAAGTACTCGAGGAACTGAATTTTTAACTAGGACAAATAGTATTTTGAATTGTATCTGTAACTTCAGTTTTATTGTAGCAGTCACTATTTTAAGTAAATTATTAGGATATACATACACTCTGTCACAATACCTACAAAGTAAAAATATGGATCTGGTTACAGCTATTAACCGGATAAAAGCTATAACGTCAAATTTCAAGAAATGAGAAAAATTGCGAGGAAATATTTGGTGAAACTTACACAGAAGCTAAAACAATTGCAATATTATTAAATGTCGAAGAAAAAAAACCACGTTTGTGTGTTAACCAAAAAAATCGGTCAAATATCCCACATTGTTCTACCGAAGAATACTTTAAAAGAACTATTTTCATTCCTCATTTAGATGACTTAATATCCTCATTGAATGATCGTTTTATGCTTCACAAAGAAACAATTATTTCTTTACAACAAGTCTTACCTTCTTTTTGTATCAATAGCAATTTTTCGAGTATCAAAGCGGCAGTAAATTTTTACATTGATGATTTACCAGGTTTTATGGATTCAATAGAAGCTGAGTATGACTTATGGATGACTAAATGGAAATCAGTTGAACAATCAAGACCAACAAACTCCATAGATGCTCTAATTTCTTGTGATAAAATGTTATATATCCCAATATACATCAACTGATAAAAATACTTTCAATACTTCCAGTATCAACAGCATCAGTAGAGCGTTAGGAACTCTATTTCTAAAAATCGTCTTGTCGGTTTAGCATTACTTAATATTCATAGAGATATTTCAATAACAGACAAACATGTTTTAAACAAGTTTGCCAACAGTGGGAGAGCCAGAAGACTTCAACTTATAATTTGACTTTTTTTTGTAAATAATATTAATTTATATAATAATATACCTACATAATATTATTTTGAGTGAATATATTATATATTCTTATGTTTTTAAATTTTCTTCAGCCCACCCTGAAAAATTGCTCTGGATACGCATCTGTAACATGTTATAAAACAAAAAAATACCACAAAAAATATTTTAGTTCATTTAAAATATATAATGATTTACTAACTTATTAAATCGTAAATTAATCTAACACAACTGTGGCCAATGTTTGCCCATATTTTTAACATAATAATACAGACTTAATTTAAATATAATATTTAGATAATCATGTATTGACATTGAAATTCTTTATAGCATAGTATTTCGGGGTTAATTCGAAAAAGCATTGGTACCTTTAAAAAGCGCTCATTATAATATTTGACCAAAAATTGAAAACAGAAGCATTGTTTGTTTTTTGGGTATTTTTGGTCAAAATACTAACAACACGTTGAACGACCAGTAAAATTTTTTTAAAAATCTCAAATGTTCACAAAATGCCTATTTTAATATATATAATAAAGTTAAAATGGTTCTCATTTAAATTTCGAAGATGGACTTTTTTGATCCATCTTAATATGTATAAATTTAGTCATCACCGAGTAATGAATCAGATACGTTGTGCTGTTATACCGGCCCATCTGTATTCTACTCAAGACGTTTGATGTGATTTATTGTTTCATTGGGAAATAATCTGCCATTATAATAAGCATTAGGCTCAGTGAAAAATTGGAGAATTTAAGATCAAATGAATCCACTTAGAGTAAAACACAAAATAATATACAACTGTAATTATTTCTTTCAATTAACAGATTGTTATTGCTACTTAAACATTATATTTTCTCATCACTAGTTATAACAATCATTAACATTTTTTTATTTCTATAAATATGTAAATATAAATATTTATGTACATAGATTCTACGTATAATGCAATTTGTTATTTAAAATATTGAAAAATGTGTATTATCATTATGAGTGTATAGATATAAACATTCATAAAGGTTTGATGTAAGTTATAAATAAATATTAAATTCTTTAATAATATTTATATATAAAACTTTATGCTATTAAATGAATAAGTAAATTTTTAATAGAAACTTAGTTTGGATGCCATTAAATCCAGAGCCTTCCAAGAGAACTTTTCATTTCAAAAACTTTGAAGCTCTAGATTTTAAGCCAATTTTTCATTTGCTTGTACAAGCAATTGAAAAATATATGCTATTACTGAAGTCAACTGTCCACAATGGTCATTGGGTATAGTTTTAGATTGTTAACTAATTTCACAATAATTATTTTTTATTGCTAATTCATTAGTCGCTAGTAGTAGATGCATGATCTGTTTTATAATATTTTTTACAATAATGGTAGTGTGACACCATAATAGCTTATTTAATATTTTATAAAGAATACAAATTCAATATATGAATATACAAATCACTTAAATAATATTTTTATTTACAATCAAAATAATAAAATGCCAATAAATTAAATATTAATATATTTTATATTAAAATAGTTACACAAAGTCCTTTTATACATAAGGTTTTTCAATGATAATATTATTACATGGCAAAAATTATTTTTTGCCTGATTTTTTTATTCCTCCGCCACATAAAGGTCCTTTTTGAGAAGCTTTAGCTTTAAGATCTTTTAAAGCTTTTTCTTGTTCTTTCATTTTTTCTTTCATTTTTAAATCTTCATCATCCAACTCTCTGGTTTCTTTCTTAGGATTCTTTAATGGTTTTTTTTTTCCTCCTTCTCGTCCAGACATTTCTCTGTAAAGAATAAGCAAACATAATAATTACTCAAAAGGTGTTATTTATAAAAGATTATGATTAGAATTTTTAGAAGGTTATAGACATTCGATGAAACATGGGATTTATTGTATGAATAGTTTGTTGAGAATTTTCTATACTTTATAAGACAATAAGAATTATAATATATTTTGAATATTGTTAAGCCAATTTTTTTCAATAAAAATCTAATACATGTATGTTTAGTAAAATATTACAAAATGCTATAAGTATGAGTATAATGATTAAATTTAACTAATAGGAAATATCATTGAATGTGTAAAATGTATTTAAATTAACACTATTGAAAGTATATTTGATTGTTTATTAATTATACAATGAAAAAACATTTGAATTAGTTAATATATTTTCAAATATACAGATGATTTATTATTCATTAATTACAAAATTTTTTCTAAAATAATTATAATATTGTGAAAATTTTTTTTTTGCTTATTTAATTAGTATTTATTTCTTGATGTATAAGTGATTAAATTATTTTAAGGTTCATCATTTATCCCTTATAAGGGATTTTACTTAATTTTTTTAAATGGTAATAGTTATTATAATAGACTAAATGATTGGATATGACTGATTAATAAAAACTTTTGAACTGTATTTCAGAAGTTACTAACATTTCTCAATGTAGAGACAAGATGTAGATTATATTATTTTTATCATTACATATATCTCTGCCACTTTTCCTCTTACCTAGGTATAAAAATGTTCATAATTTTTGAAATAATGATTCAAAAGTTGTATCAACCATTTTCTTAGTTGGATTATTTTATCAAGTTTATAAAATATATATGTTGCCATTGAAAAAAATAAAGTTGGTTTCTTATAAATAATAAGGAGTAGAACTTAAAAAAATTAACCAAATTACAAACGAAGATTGTAAAATAACTATTATTTAAATAAACTAAAAAAATATTTCAATAATTATTATTTAAGAAATCTAGTGGTCAATGATAAATTAATGACTTGTGTTTATTATGAAGTTTTGAAAAAAGAAGAAATATTTATGAAAATTATCATTAAATCTAACAGCTGTGAAATGTATCAAATATTTAAAAATCATTTGTCATTACACGTGATGTTTAACCAATTAGTTTTAAACGTTTTATCTTCAAATATTTACTCAATGACAGTTTTAGGAATATAAGAATAAATAACATAAATTAATTAAAATTTTATTATAATTTGAATTTAAACTTACCTGATTTATAATTTATAAGAAATTATTTACTAATAAAAATTTTAGATACAACTTAGTTCAACATTTGTCAACACTCAAGTTTGAAGATGCGTGTGAAGCTACCAGTTTCTGATACACAAACTTTTTATCACTGATGATTTGAGGTAACACAATGGTAACCATAAATATAATTATTTATAGTATTAAACTCTTCCACAAGAGGTCGCAGTATAATATTAATATTCATGCTAGGTAAGTGTGTTCTAACATTCTTTTAATATTATATTGTAAAAAATTTTATAAGCTTCCTGAATTTGAATAGAAAATAAGTTAACTCGTCTCGGAACATTGTTAAAACGCAAATTACTGTTGTCGGGTAGGTGCGTTTAAGAGCTACCAAGCGTAATTTCCGCCGTTTTTATTTTGCAAAATTAAGTTAGTCTGACATATTTCACCACTTAGCTTTTAATATTAATTACAGAACAGTTTATAAGATTTCTAAATATTTCTATACATATCCAGAAAACTTATAAAATTTATTATTATTTATTTTAAATTATAATATTTTTTTTAGCAAAATTATTATTGTTTGTGAAAAAAGTGTTGACTGTATTGTTTTTGTGTTAACTAGAATTTTAGTGTATTACCTTATGATTTTAAATAGCATTTATGTAGTGCGATATTATATTATTCTTACATGTCAGTATCGGTAAGTTAATGAAAGGTATTTCCACTCTGATTTACGCTAATTAATTCTTAGACTTTTTGGACTTGTTAACATTTTTTCTTGCGTTTTTATTTTGTTACTGCGCGTCTTAGACTTTTTCTATTGGTTTCCTACGCTATTTCGTTCAATTATGTAAGTTTCTTGCTGGGTATAATTTTTTTGTCTNGTAAGTTTCTTGCTGGGTGTAATTTTTTTTGTCTTCGTTTTAGTGTTAAAAATATATTAATAAACATAAAATTCAATGTTATTAGACATTACTCTAATGTTTAAAATTCATTTTTCTTTTTTTTTAATAATCGTATTTTCCATTAAATATAAACTTNAATTTTTTTTTTTTTTTAATAATCGTATTTTCCATTAAATATAAACTTAATTTTTACATAATATTTTAAGTTAATGCTAAAAAAGGCCAATTTTTTGATAATAGCAGTATTAGCTTGCTCTATTAGTAACAATTGCATTTTTATAAGTAATGTTAGTTTTTTTTTTATTTATAATGACCATTTATTTTCCCTATATTTTTACACTCGTTAATAATTATTTGGCATATAATATAAAAGTAAATTATCCCTTTTAACCTTGTGTATCGCGCATTTTTATTTCACCTTTAAGTAACGAAATCTGAATGAATAGGACTTACCGAAATAAATTGATAATCGATAAGTAGAATAAAATTATGTAATTATAGAATATATGTTATAATTATGTATGTTATAGCGTATGTCGTATTAGATCGAATAAAGTAATGTAATATTGCCATAAAATATGTCGGACTTGCCTAATATAATGATAATTATGCAGTTATACATTTATCGGATTTACAGACAAGAAAATAAAAAATAAAAATAATAATGTTGCCACTGTCAAAATAAATCGGATTTAGCCAAATAAATAATGAAATATGCCAAAAAGTAAATGGGTTTTAACGAAAATAATAATAAATATACTATTTAAAAGACAATGCTGTAATGTGGCTGGGGCGTCCCAAAATATATAATAAAATAATACTATATTCATCAATATTAATAGACATTATAATTTCTAGCTAAAATATTCCTACCCATTAATATCGATATATCGGTGATCAATTCGCTACACGAAGATGTTATAGTCATGAGCGTGGATGTTCTATAAAGAATAAGTAATAATGAAGTGTTTTAAAAGTATGACAAATGTCAAGGAAATAGTCTTGACAATGACCTGTGATGGTGGAAAGGGGCTATGGCAAAAAGGCAACCTGGTGGATGCAATGTATATACTTGAGAAATTAATATTTGACCTGATTTTAAAAATTAAACAAGGCAAATCAGGTTTGGAAATCTTAAAATAAATATAATATATAATCTAGCAATATACGAGTAAGTATACAATGATAATATTTTTTTCAAAATATAGCAATATTTATAACATAATAATTGGCAGGAAAAAGGATCGAAACGTAGTCCATAATTTAAAAAATAGAGAGGCCTCTGATGACAAGGAAGTCTTCGATATAATTATTAAGATGACCCTTCCCACGAAAAATGACTCCATTTGCATTATTAATTAATGTATTTTAATTTAAGTAGTTCTAAACAAATTTTAAAATATAAGATTATATTCATGTAAGTTAGTGTATAAGAGTAACGCGATTTTTCCTACTAACCATTGTTTTGACCAGGTGAGGGGTTATTTTAAAATTTCTTTTATTTGATATATTTTTCAAGCTGGTGCTCGAATTATATATTCGAGAAGAAATAGTAAAGCCAAAAGAAGTATTTAAATTGTATTTTCCGCGCCTTTTATATTGATTATAAAGTATAATTTTTGGGAAAATCTTCCAATAAATTTGAGTCAATCAGTATAATATTCGGTTTTTAAAATTTATAATCAACTGTTTATTTTGCTTAATTTATTAAAAATTTTGTCTATATCCTTTATAATAATTTATTTATGGTACCTGAGTATAGGTTAATCTAGTTAATTATGAATAATATATTTATTTATAAATATTATATTATATATAATTTTCACGCAGTGACAAATAATGGCCGACGCCGTGTAGGGTCATAATCATTTTCTATGATAAGTATATCGTCAAAAATTATTAAAAGTAACTTTAAATTATACCAAAGATATGCAATTGTTACCATAAATGTTACACAAGAGCCAGCAAAAATACCCAATTTACAATAAATTAATTTAAAAATCCAAATGTTATTTTGTCTTCTGTGCTGAATTTTGACTTTTTTCATAAAAGAAGTTGTCAAACTTTTCAATAAGTTTACCTAAAATTATGAATATTTTTTAAATAAAAAATTTGTAACTACTTAAGCAATGAGAGACATTATTGGAATATGATTAAACATTTTGGCTGGTTCTCTTATATTGTAATATAAAAGTATATTCAGTTAAGTAAATACTATCTTTGTAAGTAAATCTGCCAAAAAAACATATTAAATAACTAACAAGGAGAATATTTTTCTTACTAAGTCTCGGAGATGGTGTTCTTTTAAACACAGCATCCGACATATTCTTAAAAGGAAATGTTCTGTATATATCGTAGGGACTGAATTTAGTATTTTTCAAATTAATCTTGTCGTCTGTATATCCATGTTCAGTTTTCAAGAAAGAATTAGGTTTTTTCTTTATGTAGCTTCTCTTAATAACGGGCTGTAAATCATTCTTTTGATTTTGTCCCATATTTAATTGTGTTTTCATCTTATCACATTGATTTTCAAAACCATGTGTCTTTTTCAACACAGGGCTGTTGTGTACGTCATTCGTTAATAAATTTAGACTTTCATCATAAAAGTACTTGTTATACATTTCAATAAGTTTACCTAAAATGTTTAATACGTTAAAGTAATAATTTAATAGTTTTAAAAGAAGTATAGTTTTTACATTATCGCTTAAAAATTAATTTTTTTTTTATTTATCTCAAATTTAACATAAATATTATCAATCGTGTTACAAGCTAGGTGAATTTTTTTTCAAATTTTGATTTTTATTGATTTTGAAAAAATTAGTATATAGTTTACTATATATTTAATAATTCATTATTTTTTAAAAGCGTTCTAAAATATAAGAAATACTTCAAAGGTAATTTTTTAAACTATTTGCTAAAAGTAAATTGTGTTTTTTATTATTATTTCAGTATATTTAAAATATACAAATATTTCTCACCAATTTCTGGAAGAGTTATCTCTTTAATGATATGTAAAGGTTCTCTCTCTGTATTGCTTTCCTCTATTTGTCCATAGGAGATGGAATAAGCTGTGTTCAAATTCAAGTTATGGTCATCATCTAGTGTCAAGGCGGGAGTATTTAAAACGTTCGATGAATTTAACTCCACAGCCTAAAAATGATTCAAATGTTTCTGTGAAATTCTATACATTTTTTTTTTACTTTTAAATGTCATTTTAAACCTATTTTTTGGTTCCATAAAAGATAATTTTAACAAAAATTTTTTGTTAAAATTATTATCATGTCAAATCTAATTCCACAATATAAATATTAGAAATGAATGTTCGCACGACATTTCACGTTTACTAGTGTACGATCCAGTAAAAAATATATATTATCTACCGAATTCTAATAGTCCGGCTATAAAGTGGATAGCTTCCCTATGTGCAAACGTTGACTTTAATATCTATACTAATACAATTATAATTGTATTCGTATGGATATTAAAGTTAATAATTAGTTAATATAAGTTAATAATCAATAATTATCGATGAAAATGCAACATAGCAATAAGAGATCTCTGTGATGTCTAAATACAATTTTTGAAATCGTCCAGACGTAGCCAAAACTACTAATTTATGATCTATGTTTGCGACTTTGTTTAGTTTTCATTATCTCACTGAGGTCACAAAAATAAATTCTAATTATATTACAAAAATAGATGCTGAAAAAATTTCAACACTAAATCACTATGAAGTTGCAGAGGTCACAAATGAGATCTAAATATTGTTCTTATCAAAGCTGAAAAACGATACGTGTGTTGGTATGACTGACTTTAGACTCTCATGGACTTGGTGCTATATTCTTTAACGCGCGTCTTAATCAAGTGCTCTATAAGCCAGTACTGTTTCTCTACTCTCTATGTGTAAACATTATGTCTATAAATTGTAGTAAATAGCTGAAAAGGTATCAAATAAACTTCCGTATTAGTATAGTATAACATTGTAGTAAGCAATTATATATTCTTAAGTAAAATAATAATGTCACATAAAGGGAAAATACAGGGTAAGCCAGTTAAAAATAGTGGAAACAAGAATATATAAAGGGAAACGAGAAAAGTAATAAGAGGATACACGTTTTTAATAAGAAATGATTACTAATAAGTCATTACATATTCGGCTGTATTAAAGTTAGCGTATTTAATGGACTTTACTTAAAATAATGTAACCCGACAAATGACAAACCTAATAAGTACTTCTTTTTTGATTAATTAGGAAAAATACAGAGTGATCGGTTTATCGTAAACCACGCGATTACTCGCAAAATAAATGCAATATTAGAAAAACATTTTTGATTACTTTTTGTTACATATATTTCTTGATTTACTAGTTAATAATAACTTTTTAGAATCGTCCCTTGTAACGTAATTGGGTATCAACTTTTAGCTTCGATGCGAAGCTGAGAAGGTATTGGTTTTACTAAGATGTGTTTTTTTTTTTTTTTTTTTTTTTTTTGTGTCTGTTACCACTTTTTCTCAGCTCTCACCGAACCGATTTCTTTCAATGATACGTCAAAAGATCACAAATCGTATCTAGCCGAAGACATTACCCTCAAAAATTGAAAAAACTTCCCTCGTTCCCCATAAATGGGGGAAACCTTCAAAAAAATTACAAATTTAAAAATTGCTAATTTTCGAAATTTTTTCAATTTTTTTTACTTAAAATTGCTATAACATTTTATAAAATTGCTATTTTTTTTGTAGATGCATGATGTCTTTACCTATCATTTGGTATATTTTTTTTATAAATCTGACTTTTTACCTGCCTACAGGGGGGGATTCAAAATGACAACTTTTTCACAAAAAATTGACTTTTTCAACTTAAATTTTGAAAGTGTTCCGGAAAGTCTGACACTTTTATATATATCTTAAATTAAAGCTAATGTAATATACTTTATCATGGAAAAAAAAAATTTCGGACTTTATTTTATCTTCAAGGTGAAAATGGCTACCAAATGCTATTATTGTGTGAAAATTCTCAATTTTATTTTTTACATTTTTAACATTATAATGCTATAACTTATTGAAAAGTGTATTGATCAATATAATTTTTTTATGGGAAATACTATTTTCTAATAATCTCTTTTTTATTCGACATACTTTGTCTTAATCAGGATATTAATAAGGAACTAGCAGTTTATGAAGCTTTTGGAATAATCCACCAATTTTTTAAAATTAAACACTATCTAAAGATTTGCATCGAAGCGTTTTTTTTTGATAGTGATTTTAATCACTGTCAGATATCATTATACTTGATCCAACTATGCCACGTCACCACTGTGCCGCGACCCCCCTGTGCTGGGTTTATTTTTTAAATGGCAATATATATATTTAACTAGTTTATAAAATACGAAATAATCTAATTAAGAAAATGACTGATCGATAACAACTTATTTTGGAAGTTATTAACAATTTTATGTAATTACTGGAGATGTAGAGATGACTGGATGCTGCTATTTTTATCACTAGCCATTTCCCGGCCGTACTTTTCGTCCTGCTTATAATATTATAATAACTTCAGAAATTGCTGGTCCAAAACTTTTTATCAACCAGTCGTTCTCTTATTTAGATTATTTTCTATTTTATAAGCTAGTTAAATGTGTATGTTGCTATCTAAAAATATAAAGTTGACATCCCTTTATAAGGGGTGTCAATTTTATTTTCATTTATCATTATCATTTAAAGATTTAGTAAAAATGAGGAGCGGTATAATACTTAGCGACTCTCTACTTTTAACATTATGCATAGATAACCATTTTTCCACGTTGCCCATCCCACTCATCTATAATTAAAAGTTATATTCAATCAAAAAGTAATAATACAATATAGATTGCTACTAGTCAGCTTTTTTTTAGACCATTTTCCAAAAAAATAATTGGTTTCCATGTAACTTTCGAAATTTAACCCTAAATCAACCTCTAGAATAAATTGTATTTTATAATAAAAACAATATATAGTATGATTTATTAAAATAAATCAAATTTTAATTTGTACATTTTTGTGAAAAAATCATTATTTATCAAAAAAATGGGATGAAATACACATCACACTATTTATAATGTACATATCCATATAATACATAATACATTATTTATAACATAAATAAATTGTAATATGATTACTTTTATTGTGGTAAAATATTATGTTGAAGATTTAAGTTTTTAATAAATATAATTTGATTAAATAATCTTTAATTAGCTAGTTCTAATGTTCTATATTTTATACTACATTTTTTATTTTATTAAGTGGGCAAATGTATTTTTTGTGTCGGAAAATAAATATTCCATAGTACCAGTTAAATAAAATATTTACTGTGGAAAAATTAATTTTTGTATTAAGCCAAAAAAAAAAAGAAGGAAATATCAATAACATGATTTTTTTGAGCTAGAGAATGATTGGCCCACATATCCTATCACGGTAGTATATCAGTAATTTGGTTAGTATTAAGGTTTGTGATAATTTTTAAAAATTCAAGTTAATTTATATTTATGCTTTGTGCAAGATGATTATCCTGAAGCTTTTATAAAAGAGAAATAAATATTGACATCTTCAGACATTACACCAACCAAAATAAGAGGACCAAACAGAGTGTAGCTATTGATGATAGCCCTAGTGGTAAGTTTACTAACTTTGTGGGATAGTTTTATTTTTTACACTTTCTTGCACTTGAGCAATATACCAAGATTTTCTTAAGTGATTTTGAATGCATAAAGAAATATTAATATTTTACTAGTATTCATAATACTATAGGATAGAAAAGGTCCTCGATTACAGGAGATTTCTTCAATACTATTAAATAAAAGCTTTCCTATCAGATAAAATTTTTAGGACTGTTTAGCGGGTAACAATTACATATCCTTATTAAACGCATCAAGCGGTTATCAGTTTAAACTTTCCAAAGATTCGAAATAGTATATAATTTTTTAAACAAACACGGGTCATTCTCAATTGAAAAGAATTTAAAAGGCTTTAATTATAAAAATAATGTGTTACATGTTACGTTTAGAAACAGCGTAATCAGTTATTAGGACACAACAGCAAAGCCCGTAACAGTTTATGACTTTTTAACTCTAACATTAACTTAAGTAATTAAACTATGTAGGTATTTAAAAAATTAATTAATATTAAAGTAGTAATGTTTAACTCACATGTTGGGACACACTTGATGTCACAAATTTGGACACGTATGATGTCACAAATTTAACACTATTCAGTATAAAATTTTTCGTTTTAATGAAAAACACTTTTACATAGTCATTAAACTGATTCCAAATTTTCTTTTCATTTGGTTTCGTGTTCTTTACTAATCTTCTCAAATATGGAATAGTGTTGCTAGAAGGCACAAGAATTAAATATCTCGGTTTTATTATGTCATTATTTTGATAAGTAGAAATTTCATCGACTTTCTCATTTCTATCAAAGTATGCTAGAACGGTTCGCATTTTTTTTTCTTCAAAGACTTTATCCCAAATGCTGACTGGCTTGCTGTTTTTTAAAGCAATCAAAAAACTGTCACTTACTTTGATTGTAGGTTGCGGTTGTAATAAGTATTTGAATACTTCGTCTAAAGCACATCCATGAAAAAAAACATTATTTTCTTTTAATTCCTTTAATGGACATGTAGGTTCTCCTATTTGAAAAATAGCTAACGAACAAGAGTTTGGCCACACATAAAGATTGTCTTTTAAAGTTAAAAATCTAATTACTGG